CACAGGAGCCTTTCAAAGCCATGTTCCAGCCATAATCAGCACAGCAGCGCCTGCCAAACCCTCTCACTGTCTGCTCCTGGCTGTGGGCAGATGAGCCCAGCTCTGGCATAGCTGGGAGGGAGATCAGGGAAAATTGAGAAGTTACCCTGATGACAGCCCAGTCAGCCCCCCCCGGCACCTGTAGGGTTCCAGATCTCTCTATTCCCACCTTTCCTGCTCTTCTCCATGCTCATCACATGTCAGCTCCTTCCCAGGCAGCTCCAAGCCCAGGGGCAGATGAAGCTGCTATGAACAAGCTCAGGAGAGCCACGATGGGCCGGGCTGGTCCCAAGGCAGCCCCAGCCTTTGTGCAGCACATAGGCCTGGAAATCCTGGGAGTTGCTCACAGGGCATCGGTGGCTGGGACAGGAATGAGTGACAGCACCTTCCCCTCACATTGCCGAGCTGTGCAGCCCACTCTGGGAGGCTGGGAAGGATGTTCAGCCCCAGTTTCTGGTCCATTAGTTCCCCTTCCCGCACTCCCCTTCTCCATCTGGGAGGCACCAGGAGCCACATGCGGCAGCGCGGGGCGGGATGCCCGGCCTCACGCAGCCCAGACACAGCCACACGTGCTGTGGCAGCAGGGGGAGGTCAGCCGTGGGTTACCAAAGTGCAGCTGGAGCAGAGCGTGGGCTGAGGCTGCAGCGCCGAGAAAGGTTTTTGAGCACCCTCAGTGCCTGGGGAGCAGCACTTGCCGCCATCCCAACTCCTCTCCATCCTGCTCCCAAAGTGGCCAGGCCACCAAAACGAGCTGGTCCTTGCTCTTTGTGGTCCCCATGATGTCTGGAAGTGCTGGGGAGAGCAGTGGGGGCAGGTACGGCCCCTAAAGCATCCCTGCCTGCCCGGCCCCTGCCCACTCCAGCATAGCCCAGACTTGTCCTCATTTCAGGCTGGGCCCGGCCCCAGAGGTAGTGAGATGATGCCAAACCTCCTAATGGAGCTTGACAGCAGTGGGATTAAAAGCACAAGTGAGATCACAACACCTCTGCAATCAGCTTCTGCCCTGGAAGAGCTGAATCAGAACAGAAACCTCCTGGCAGTAGGGAGGGGGTGACAAGCCTGCACACACTCCGGGCAAGGGCAGCAGGGCCTGGGGGGAACCTCATCCATCCCAAGCCCTCCGTGTTTGCCCTGACCAACTCACTGTCAATGGGAAGGAGCCAATTTCAAACCCCCCCAGGAGAATCAGTGAAGGGTTTCTCCAGTAACAGCCCCAATTCCAACTGGTCCTAAACTCTGAATGCAGAACAGACCATGCCATGTGCCCCTTCCTCTTGCTGCCTGCGAGCTCAAAGCATCCCACAGCACCCACAAGGACACCCCCTCTTCTCCCTCTCCTTTGCATGCTCTGCTTGGAGTGGTGCCACTGACGCTGGAAACAACACCTGAACAGGTAGGTCCAAGATGGAGAGGAGATGGAAGAACTCACTTGGATGCAAGTGGGTGCTCAGGAAGACACTCACAGACCCCATTTCTGTGGGATGGGGTGTGCACAGACCCTTTCAGGCAGCATCAGGCCCAGGAGCACAGCCCTGCTTCAGGTAAATGGCAGCACTGACCCATTTCCCAACCCTGGGATGCTCCAGCAGTACTGCTGCCCCAGGTCTCCATACTCCTTCCTGCCAGCAGGAGTTTCTCAGCATTTCCTCCAAAACGGGCCTTTGCAGAGATGAAGTGTCGGTCAGCTTGCACAACCCATCCAAGGGGTGGCCTCTAAGTCACCCTCCAAAAATCCAGCAAGGCACAAGCACCATCCCCATCTCTGCTCATCCAAAACCCAGCAGCCAGAGGCTGCTCTCCTGCCTGGCAGTCATTTGCTCCCAGCAAAATGCAAGGGAAAAACAGGGCTTTTTACTGCAAGAAAAAGGGAGACACTCGAGGGACCAGTGGGGAGAGCTGATGGGTTTTGGCACTGCACTCAGGCTGAAAAGCTCCAGCTCCAGACTTTATTTTGCAGTGACCTGTACCAAGAATTGGCTTTTACGTTTTTCTTGCCAAATGGAAAAGAGAAAGAAATCCTTCTAGGTCAGAGGAAAGAAAAGCATTTACTTGTGGGTCAAGTGAAACAATCTGATGCAGGGTTGAGTGCACTTTTATTCTCCCCAAACCAGGAAAGGATTCAATTTCCATCTGAAAAAAACCCAAACACATCTAAAAATAAAAAGATAAATGTTTTTAGGGTCAGAAGCACTCAATTTTGGTTTTCAAGTCCAAATGATTTGCTCAGTTGAACCCCATGTTCCAGAGCATGGGTTGACTCAAAAGTGCAGCGGGGTGGGGAAGGATGGGTTGATATGTGAATCTGAAAAATTTCAGCCTTGGTGAGATAACATCTGTCACAGAGACCACCACAGGGCCAGCCTGGGTACCCCTGTGTCCCTGGCATTCAGCCTGGGTACCCCAAGCTCCTGCCCAGCCCTCCTGCGACCCAGAGCACTGTGAGGAGGTTTTTGGCCACCTCCGCAGCGCTGTGCTCATCCAAAGCAATCTGTCACCTTCCATCCTCCTCACCAGCCAAATACTTCCTGACAGCCCATTTAAAACTCAAAGCACCTGATTACCACCATGGCCAGGCAGCTGCTTGCCGGTGCCAGGAGAAACTCTTCCATAAACACACCCCTCAAAACAAAATCCCTGCCCAGAGCATCGCTCCTCACCCTTTCCAGACTCGCCCACACCCCAGGATCCTTCTTGAGTTGGTCCAGGTCTGGCTCTGCTCTAACATACATGGCCCCAGCTGCGGGGACACCACATTTCCATCACCTGCTTCCTACCATCCCAGTGGGGAGCAGGGCCACCCACCCCAGTTCCATCCACCTGCCAGGGCTGACCCCAGCCCCTGATGCTGCCCGAGTCCATTAGTGAGTCCCCTGAGCACACACCTCGCCGGTGTGTTGCTTAACCCCGGCTTTTAGGGAGAGCTTGCAAAGCCTTTCAATTTTTAATCTGCTCTAAACATTTTGGTCCTTGCCCTGGGCACTCCCAGTCGATAACCTCTCCTGGCAGCACAGCTGCCCCACAGCTGTGGGGAAAGGGGAAAAGCAGGGGCAAATGAGAGGGAAGCAGCTCCATCCTAAGCTCCTTTGGAGGGGCAGGACCCCTTTACACACACTCCCTTGGGATGAGGGGCACCCACACCGGTCACACCACTCCAGTGAAAGGGCCCCCAGTGTTCCATGGAGATGCTGTTCAGGGAGGATGGGGGGTGGGGACACTCCTGACCCCGCCAGTAGAAACATGACACCTGCAGAGCACCTTAATCCTTCCATCAGGAACCTCTGTGGGGCTCAGTTCCCCCAAAATTGACAACGTGGTTTACCCTGATGCCTGGCAAAGCCACCTCTCCCTCCCCACCGCCTGGCACTGGCACAGCAATGCCCAGGAGCAGGGACATGAATACAGCATCACTTTGCAGTCCCTGAGGCGTCTTTCTCTTTTTCCACTGCCTTAGGCAACAAATGTACAAACAAGAGCCTGCTGGGCACAAGGAATGTGAGCCAAACTGCTCTGGGAAGGGAAATGCTGCTCCCTTTCTGCACACATGTAAGCTCCCCATGTCCACACATCCCCTTCCAGCCCCCCACAGCATCTCCTAATCTCCAATTCCTTGGGACAGCCCTCACCAAGCAGCAGTGGGACCCATCCCCAAGGTTCCCTGTTACACCCCCACCACACCCCAGGCAAGGAGTGGGGACAGAGACAGTCCCAGCCAGGAATGGGGGCACTGCTCACTCACGAGAGTCTTCTTCAGCTCCTCACCTCCCTCACCCTCCTGGACCCCCAGAGAGGAGTTTTAGGCTGCAGGGAGCTGAACAGCTGAGTGCTGGCCTTGGCTGCCATCTAGCAGTGATCCAGCAGCAGCAAGGTCACAGCTCCTCTGGGTTCCAGCCCCTGCTGCAGACTGAGGAGAGGGAGAGGAGGGTGTGGGGGTCTCCTTGGGACACCCCACCCTAGCCCCAGTTCTCACCTCCCTGAAACCAAACAAGGGTCCTGCAGCAGAGGGGGTGACTCCTGAGCAACCTCAGCTCCGTTACAGTCGATGGATGACAAACATGTGCAATGAGCCCCCCAGCCCAAACACGGCACCAGAGAGGTCAGGCAACCCTGCACTGGGTTGGACAGCCCCTGCTCCTCACCATTCTGCTTTCACCTCCTTCATTAGCTTTCCCAGCAGTTGCTTTCTAACAAGTCCCACGTTTCCTTTTTTAGCCCTTTCACATACCAAACCAAACTCAAAATGCTGAAATTAAAACAACCGAATCACAGAATGGTTTGGGTTGGAAGACCTTTAAAGATCACCTAGTCCAATCAGACCCTTGAAGGCCCTGAGGAACAGTCTAGGGACCAGCAAACCAGCTGAATGCCAGCATTCCTAACCAGGGCACTTCTGTTTTCACTGCTTTTCTTTGCATCAACAGGCTCACACTCATCACTTTTTGCCCCAGGCACAAAGCTATATAAACATGGCCAATGTCAAGCTTCAAGTTGTCTCTTGCTGGATTCTTTGCAGATTTTTATTTATCAGATTCTTGATGCTTTGTATACATGGCATCCAATAAAATCACAGCACCTTCTTCTTGGGGAAGGTTTTTTCAGCTCTCCTCAGAGCAAGGAGTGTGTAGAGCACCCCCTGTGCTAAAAAACAATGTCAAAACTGCTCATGCACTGAGGGAGAAAGGGACAGGGAGCCAGTTTCCCTCTCCTAAACTTAAAGGGTTTATAACACAATGTGACACTTAGATGTTCTCCTGAACCATTACATTAAAGAGCAGTAACCCAGTACACCACCGGTACAACAAAACCAAAGCGTTTCCCTGAAAGTAAAAATACAAACCCAAAGTATTTTCCTGAAAGTAAAATTAACATGGCACACCTGAGATGTCAGACCCAGAAAGTTTTTCAAGGAATTAAATGTTTGTGAACAAAAAAAAAAACCCCCAAAAGTAAATCCAACAGCATGGTCATCCAGAGAGCCTGCGCTGCTCACAGCAGCCTTCCTCGGCAGCAGCTCCAGCTTCTCCCCTCTTCTCACACCTTCCTTCCCAGGCTGGAGAGCCACTGGAAGTGGCCAATCGTGCAGCTGCCAACACTGCAGCGAGTGTGGCAGGAGGGACATGGAGTTTGTGAGGTTGGCACCACAGAGGCCAACTCCTGGGAAGGTCTTCATTCTTCATGTTCTCTTCACCTGCGTAAGGAAGGACAGAGAAAAGAAAGATCAGATCTACGCTGGCAAATCCAGGAGCTCCAGGTCAGACTGAAATCCCCTTTGCTGGACGTTACCAGATCATGGCAAGAGGACTTGCTACTGCACACCTATTTGACGAGCTGGACGTGGTATAACCCAAGGACCTCTCTTCCTGTCCCCCAGAGGTGGGAAATCAGTAACTTGTGTCTAGGGAACTCCAAAGAGAAGGCAGACAGCTCTGTTCCAAGGCACAAAAATCCCTCACCTTTGTCAAGGCACTTAATCCACCTCGTAAATTGAGCCACTCTCATAGGGGTATTGTAAATTCTTTCATCATTTGGAAGATGAAAGACAAACACCCACACAGGGGACCTCACAGGATTTACAAAATGCTTTTGTCCCTTACAGTTGAGAGACTGGGAGACTCAGTATGAAATGAACACAGTATGGAGTGGAGAAATGAAGACTTCTGCATGAAAGCAGCAGAAAGTCTAGAAAAGACAACAAAACCCAGCAATGAAAGAACTAACCCTCAATTCATTTCTTCCCATTAAACAACTAGAAATCCATTTTGCTGCACAAAGGCCAAACCGATGCACTGCATCCAGCCTCTTATTACTGTGGCATCTCCAGCCCACAGAAAAACCAACATTTCCATCTGTTCCAGCAGCACCAGCCATAGGATACCCAACAGAGACTGCAAAACTCATGGCACAGCAGACTGCTCAGCTTTCTGCTGTGTGAACTCTGACTGACAAATCTACCCGTACTGTTAGGGCTGTCCAGCATGAATGGCATTGCCATGAGTAAAACAGTAGGATTTACAGCTTCAGAAAGCTGGGCCTTGCTGCAAAATCTTTCTGTCTGATCAGGGTCATCTTGCCTCATTTCTGCGGGTTGCTTGGAGTAAATAGAGGAGGTGTAAAGATCTTCCTCTGACTTGACCAGGACAGCAGGCATGGAGGACTCTCCAAGAGAATGAGGTGTCTGCAAATGTACATAAAAAAAAAATAAAAAAAAAATCAAGAGGGGGTGCAATTAGTGCACACCCAATTCATCAGCTGCCCTGATCTTTATTACCTCTCAAAATTTACAAAGAACTGGCATGTCAGCAACTGGATGATTAAAAAACCACACCAACAAAACTACACAACAACAAACCCCTAGTTCCCTTGGCCAAAGGGCAGCTCTTCCTGCACAGCAAGCTGAAAAGAGTGACAGATTACAAGATACAAAGCACCATGTCTTAGCAAATAATCAACAGCTGGCTCGTCTCTCAGCAGCCCCACACAGAAGCAGTGATGGCAATGACAGAGGGAGTTTCTGCAAGGAAGCAGGAACTGACTCAGAGGAAGCCCCTCTGCATTTTTGGTTAAGAATTCAAACTGAACCTACATTTCAGGGATGGTCACCCATCTCTCAGCCACATGAAGCTGATTTCATGGAACAATAGCTGTGCCACAGCCAAACTCTTACCTGGTCACACAGCTCAGTCCCATTCAGCTTTGAGGCTGTTGTTTCACTATCTGCAACTAGAGATTCCTGCTGCAAGCAAAGGTCTGGCTCCACCAGCTCATCATTCTCCTGCTTTCCACTGGGCTGAACATACAAGGCCAAAGGATTCAGCTCCTTGAATTCCTAGGAACAAATACAAAAACACACCAGGACAGGAGAAAAACCCATGTTGTAACCACCACAAAGAATAAAAAGGATTCAGTAAATCTCTAGTAGGTTTTCTGGAGCAGCACAACACCCACAAGTGAGCTCAAAATTCTTGCAGAAATGGCCTTCCTAAGAAAATCAACTCCTCCCCTGCCAGCATCAAGATTTCTCAGCAATGCCCCTCTCCCCATCAAAATTGGACCTACACATGCAAAAATACAATCATAGGATCTAATCCTGCCAAAACATGCATTCTGCATCTACTGAAGAAAGCAGCAGACAGAAGCACTCCAGGTTGTAAAGCCCAGTTTTCTGCTGAGGTATAAAATCACAGCAGTGCCTTTCCAAGGGTTTTCATCATCCACACAGTTCTTACTGAAACTGAGCTGACAGAGGCAGATAATGACACAGAGGAACCTAAACCACAAATGCCCTCTGCACTGGCTCACAACTGGGATGTCTGTCCAAGGCACAACGGGCAATATACCATGGTTACACTGTCCAACACAGCACCTTTCACTGGCAAAGTAAGAGTTTTTAAACTAAGACCATTTCTGTAACTCAGTTTACTAATGGCATAACCAACCTTCAGTGCCTAGAGCACAGAAGGCCAAGATAATTTATTTAAGTATCACAGAATTGTCAGGGTTGGAAGGGACCTGTGGAGATCATCCAATTCAACCCCCCTCCCAAGAAAGGGTCACCTGGAACAGGTGGCAGGAACACAACCAGTTGGGTTAGCAATGTCTCCAGAGGGGGAGACATTCCCTGGGCAGCCTGTTCCAGTGCTCTGCCACCCTCAACATGATGTTCTTCCTCATGATGAGGTAGAACTTCTTGTGTTTTAGTTTATGGCCATTACTCCTCGTCCTGTTACCAAGCACCACCAAACAGAGTCTGGCACCATCCTCTTGGAACCTGCCCAGAACTGGACACAGCACTGCAGATGTGGCCTCACTAGGGCTGAGTAGAGGGGCAGGATCACCTCCCCTCAACCTGCTGGTCACACTCTTCCCAATGCACCCCAGGATCCCACTGACCCTCCTGGCTCCAGGGCACACTGCTGGCTCATGGATAACTTGTCATCCACCAGTACTCCCAGGTCCTTCTCCATAGTGCTGATCTCCAGGTCAGCCCCCAACCTGTGCTGGTATTGGGGTTATTCCCCCTCAGGTGCAGGACCCTACAGCTGCCCTTGTTGAACCTTTTTAGGTTTCTCTCTGTCCAGTTCTCCAGCCTGTCAAGGTCCCCCTGAATGGGAGCACACCCTTCAGGTGTATCACCCACTCCCCCACTTTTTGATGGTACACCATCAGCAAACTTGCTGAAGGTACATTCTATCCCTTCTTCCAGGTCACTGATAAAGAAGTTGAATAAGACTGGACCCACTGCTGATCCCAGGGGAAAGCCACAGACTCCAGGCCTCCAACTGGATTCTACTCTGCTGATGACGACCCTCTGAGCTCTGCCATTCAGCCAGTTGTTGATCCACCTCACTGCCCCTTCACCTAACCCACATTTCCTGAGCTTACCTGTGACGGTGTCATGCGAGACATTGTCAAAAGCCTTGCTCAAGTCGAGGTACACCCCACCCACTGCTCTCCCCCCATCAACCCATCCTGCCATGTTGTCACAGAAAGCTATCAGATTGGTCAAGAAGGGTTTCCCCTTGGTGAATCCATGCTGACCACTCCTGGTGACCTTCACTTCTACACGCCTGGTGATGACCTCCAGAGTGCCCTGTTCCATCACCTCTCCAGGGATGGAGGCGAGGCTGACCAGCCAGGAGTTTCCTGGGTTCTCCTTCTTGTCCCTTTTGAAGATGGGAGTGTTCTGTTGCTCACTATGCAGCACTGCTTCAAGCCATACAATAAAATCTAATGAACTTGAGCTCTCATTAACTGGTTGGATGAGTCAGGCACCTCAATTAACACATCTCTTAACAACCTCCCAATTCCATCTCAGTTTGGCCTTATGCTCAGAATACCTGCAGTGATTTTACTTTTCCCTGTTATCTCTACAAGACACGTGTCAGCTGAATCTGCAACACTGCCACTAATTAGTTTCTAATCCACTGCCAGAAGACAGTGGAAATAATATGTTCTGCTAAAAAAGAACATCTCTGCTGTATCATCAGACTCCACCTTAACCAAAAAAGCAAGCTCTCACCAAAGAATTACACACTGTGGGTTGCAGCCACAAATGGTAAGCTACAGGAAAGCAGGGAATACCAGTTTTGCTCTTCACAAAACTACTTGATTCAAGGTAAAGATCTTCACATTACAGGCACCCAGCCAGGGGTCCTTTCCTTGCCCTTCCTTTCAGCAGCACACGCCTCCCTCCTGACCTGGGAAGGAATGTTCTCTCCACACACATCAGCATATCCCATATCCCTCAAGACATAGTGGAAGTAGACATCCTCCTTGGTGGATGTGTCACAGAGGAAGAGGTGCAGGACACCATCCACATATTCATCCACGATGCCCACAAGCTCCTTGAAGCGACAGAGATTCTTGAACACGAGAGTTGCTGCAGGAGACCACGTACCCTAAGAGAGAAAACCAGGATGTAAAGTTACTAAAAACAGACCAATGTCCACCACCTGAGACTTTTCCTGGTGGAGGGCACTTGTCAAAAGGCAATTGAGCTATGCCAGACCAGTGACAAATACAGGAAAGTCAGGCAGACCAGCTTCCCAGCACAGAACTAAACCAAACTACCCCAAAGCCTGCAATGCTGGGTACACTGGAAATGCCCTTTTACCCTAAATACCCACTTCCAACACAGTTCAATGGCATTCACCAGTGATTTTATCAAAACTGCCTAAAATACAGTTGTTTGGGGTTTATTTTGTTTGTTTGGTTTTTTTTTTTTTTTTAATTCCTGGAATCATGGGATTTTACAGATGTCAGAAGTATCAAAAGTTATGAAGAAATTGCTAAGCCTCATTGCAATGAAAATGGTGATTAAGTCTCAAAACCCAGAGGAAACAACTTTTAAAAAGTAGCATCTTTAAAACACACAGAGGCAGCAACTCCACTCACATGCTTTCCTTCAGAGATTGTACTTCTCCTGCTTCATGACCAAGAGGTTTCCCACCACAGAGGAACTTTATGACCTCTATAACTCTTTGGCTGTGCTGACTGCACTTAAAGCTCTGTCACAGAAGAGTTTTTTAAAAACAGAGGGCTGGAGCTACCAAGGCTTCAGAAGGACCCTGGGGAACTACTGGCAAGGGAAGAAACAGGTTTGCTCAGTAGTTTAACAGTTTCTGCAAGAATGTAAGCAAGACTGCTCTGATGGTAAGGAAAGCATTGGAAGGGTGACTGCTTGCTGAGCAGAGACTTACCCAGTCACACTCTGCTGAACATAACAGCACCAATTCTGCTGTAAATATCAACAGGACCTGAATTCATCCAAAATGCCTGCCCTTAGCAGGAGAAAAAGACAACCTCTACTTGGTAACTCTTGTACATAAGTCAATAAACAAAACTGCACGTGAACATGTACCTCCACAGGTTTTACCCATGCCAAGGAACATGGGATGGCCTGAGCAGGGAGCTTCAAGTAGTGCCACCTAAAATACAAAGAAAGTAAAGCCATTACTGCAAAAAAAGGGGAAAAATCAGCAACAGGGCAGAACTCCCTCCTCTTCTGGGTTTTAATGTCAGCTTAGGAATAGAGAGGCATACAATGGATTGTGTGCTTATGACTAAAACCTAACAGCAGCTTTGGAAAACACTCCCCATTCAGAGAATGGGCACAGCAGACACAGCAGTAACAACTGGTACGTTATACATTCCCCGGCACAAACACCTTCCCATCAAGAACTCCTTGTGGAGGCAAAGTTAGGGACAGAGAGCCATGACTTTTGAACCAAAGAATGCCAACAGCCAGGCATGAAGAGACGCAAATGAGGGGGAAGATGCAAATATGGAAAATGTGCTGAACTGCAGAGAACAAGTACCTCTGGCACCGCAAATGTGTCCCATTTGGACTGAGGTCCACTCATGGAACATAGGAAGTGGGATTAGGGAGCTTGCCCCAAGGTGACAGAAAGCAGCAAGGAGAGAGACTGAGGAGTGAAGGCAGAAACAGGAAAGGATTTAGCAGTGTACCCCAGGGGTCAATGCTGGGTCCAGCATTGTTCAGCACCTTCATTACTGATGTGGGCAAGTCTACCCTCAGTCTGCTCATGATACAAAACTGGCAGGAGTGGTTGATACCCCAGAGGCTCAGGCTGCCATCCAGATGGATCTTGACAGGATAGAAATGAGCAGGCAGGAACCTCAAAGTTCCTGCACTTGGGCAGGAACACCACCACACACCAGCACACACCCAGGGCCAGCTGTCAGGAAAGTGGCCTTTCAACCATGAGAGCGAGCAAGCACTGCAACAGGTTGCCCAAAGAGGTCATGAAGTCTCCATCCTTGGAAACATTCAAAAACTGTCTTGACAAAGTCTGGGCAGCCTATTCCAGACAGCCCCACTTGGTCAGGAAGTTTGGGCAGGATGCCCTCCAGAAGTCTAATCCAGCCTCAGCTGTTCTGTGGTCCTGCCGCCCACGTGTAATCTACTTACTTGAGGAATCTCAGCCAAGACTTCTGGACAATTTGGAGCTGTCCATAATCTGCATAGAACACCTCCACTTCTTGGTCACTGACCACACGGTGGATGATAACACGGTACCACCATTTGGAGACCATCACACAGCAGAGCTGTCCGGGCCGCACTGCAGAGTCAGGCATGATGTATTTATCAGAGACAAGTTTATGGGAGTAAAGGTGTCTGGAAAAGATCATAGGGAGGAACTCTGCTTAGTCGGATGCACAAGATGAACAAGAAGAAATGCACGGGGTATCAAAAAAATCCTGATTTTTTAAAGTCCCCATGACATGAATTTTCAGGGGTTTCAACAGATCCTTTATATCTCTGTTCTCCCACACCTGAACTGCAATGGCAACAAAAAAATTCAAACCTGAACTTTTAACACTTGAATGGTATTCTCAGGGTCCAACAAAAAGTTAATTAATGGGGATTAATCAGAGGCTAAATACAGTCATTCTAAACATTATTTTTTTAACATTACCTTTACATGTCAGTGTTTCTTATGAACCAGGTTCCAGAGTACTGGCTGAAAGTGTTGGAGATGAAAATAGAAGCTTTAACTGAGCACATTAGCAACTGTAGCACAGACAAGGCAAAGGAACCCTTCAAGCTCAACTCCATAACCTTTCCAGGCGTTTAAAGTCCAGAACAGCCTAGGACTATTTTGTTGTTGACCACACTTACTGCTTGTGAGTTAAGAGGAATGGAGAAGCACAATGAGCAGGTGTTTCAGTACAGCACCTGCATCCAATTACCAAGTAATGAAGCCAGCACTGACCATCACCATCAGCTGGTGCCCTGTTCCCTCACCACAAACACACACGCCCGAAGCAGCAGCACTGCACTGGCACAGTGTGCTCCCACCTCATCTCAAACATCAGATCCTGCAGTTTGTAGGATGTTTCCCTGCCACAGATGTGGATGTAGAACTGGGTAGGAGAGACGATGAATTCCACGACGACTCCCACCAAGCACTTTCTCTTCAGAGGTGGTAAACTGCAAAGGCTTCTGTCCTGAACAGCATCCGGAGGGATTTCTAGAGACAGTGTCAGCTTGTTTGGTAGCAACTGCTGAAAATCTTGAGGCTACAAAGGGATAAGAGGAAGGTGGCACTCAGATGTCTTGTCATACACTGATCACACATAACTGGCCTTTCCAGTAAGTTAAAAAAATTAGTTCTGCTTTCCCTGTGGGGACCTGTGAATTACTGAATATCAGAGAATCCCAACAAATTGCATTAACCTGGACCCAAACTTTCCCTGTGGAAATTTTTCATACTCTCTTTCTTCCTTCCCTCCAGTGTAAAGAGGGGTGCAACAAAAATACCTTGCTCATATTCCTACAAGGAATAAAGGAGAGGAACTGAAGTCATGTCACGTATTTAGATAAAAGTAGTGAATGGCTGTTGCTAAAAAAGCAAAACAAAACAAAAAACTCCACATAACCAAACAAAGCAAACAAAAAATACCCACCTCTTTGCTAGATTTTACTGAAATGATGTTATCTCTATGTTCCATGACCACGAAAAAGTACATGACTGAATGAGCAAAACTATCTGAAAATGACTCAGAAGTGAGAGGAGGTATAAATGCATCCCACTTTCACACTAGGACAAAACCAAACAAAATCTATGAGCTTTGTTCTTTTCTTACTCCAGACAGAATTGTGAGTGAGCTGTTAGCACAGCTGCCAACTGTGTGTTATTCTTACTGCTGAAAACATTATTTCCTTTGAACTAGTGTAGATGAGAACAGTGCATCGATACCCCAAACTCAACAAAGACAGTAAAAAGAGTTATCACCCACTCGAATAAGACATGAAAAAGCTACAGGTCACTTGTCCACCACTTACTTGTTTGAGGCGATCACCCAAATCTACTGCTTGTGTTTCCACTGGCTCCCACTTCATCAGAAGGGCTGCCTGGTAGAAGTCATCTGTCTCACAGACAGGTTCCAAAGGGGGCATCTCGGCTGCAAAGATGACATTTTGGCTGTTATTCTTACTGATTGGACTGATGCAGTGTAGCATATTAAGCAGAAGGAGAAAACACCTGAAAACACTGGTGGTGTTTTCCTCATTTCTTGTAGCATTCACAGCCACCACACTCATAAGGATTCACTGTACTCATAAGTCGAAACAAACCAAAACAATTGCTTGCTCTTACAAGCATGCCAAATGCTAAAATCCACTACTAGAATGATGCCAAAATTAATTTTCCCCAGAAAAGTCATGAATGTGTTAGTATCTCTATGTGATTTTTCCACCCTCTACTGTAGGTTTTATGAGAACACAGAGAGCATCTGCAGTCTTGTCTCTTTTGTGGAACATTGCAGCTGTGCCTTTCAGGCCAGTGTCAAACGTGGTCTCAAAAAGAATGTCAGAAAAGCTTCACCAGCCTGCAGAACAGATGTTCAGAAGATCCTTCTCATTTCGTTACCTACTGCATTGAATGACTAGAAATTCCAGTCCTACACACACAGACTCAGAAAGTTCATTCTCTGAATGGGCTAAACATCCCTTCTTTTACCTCACATCAAAAAACAGTGGTAACATGTTGAAAAACGCCAGTTAAACTCTCTGCTACCAAGACAACTGCCTTGTGACAGCTGCTTCTGCAGCATACAACAGCCCTTCTGTGCTAAAACCCAGGGGAACCTGGACTACTACAGCAGCTGGAAACGCAGCAAGAGCCACTTGAAACGTAGTTGCTTGGCTACAGAGTTTGTAAGGGCTACTTTGTGCTTTCAAATACACCCCCTCACCTTGCAGCATCTCTTCGTCCTGCGCCTCACCTTGAGGCACCTCTTCCTGCTCTGCCTCCTTTGCCACGTGCTGTCTCAGGACCAGCAAGGACCCTGCCTTTGTCTGCTCCACCACAATGAAATCAGACACGCTCCTGAGGGCTTCGAGCGCAGAAGAAAACCCGCACTGCCTGTATGGGAATGCCCGGCCAAAGCAGCTGAGGAAGGCCTTGTCCAGGTCCTGGAGCAGAAGAGGGGAGGAGCTCAGCAGGTCCTGCAGCTCAGCCTTCACAGTCACGGGCAGGACAGGAGTCCTGGCTCTCAGAGGGGAATGCTGGGCATTCTTGGAGTTCTTAAAGGGAGAAGCAGCGTTTGCCTTCAGAGGAGTTCTCTTCCAGGTCTTAGCACATGTCCTTCCCTTCTGGCAGGCAACCAGCTTGGCAATGCCTTTGGTGGTGTCGTCTGCAATGGCTACAACAGAAGGAAATAAACATACAACTCAAACAATGAACTACTAAAAGCTCTGCACTGGCAAAGCTCCTCTTCATTCCTTTCTTTCCTCTTCTCCCACCCTTTTCAGAAGCAGGTGTCTTCTTCAAAAGCAGTCAAACTACATTTTCCAGCAGCAAACTAACTAAGCCCTTTTTAGAAGCCAGCAACCAGTCTGCACCCTTATGCCTATAAAGTCACACCAGGTAGGAAGGCAGGTCAAATTCTTGGATGCAGGGTCACAAACAAAACCTATTGAGAGTTTTGCTAGGAAAGCAGAATCACAGTAAACTCCCACTACAGAGCACTTTCCTGTTCAGGCAAGGGAGTTGCCAGGAGAGCAAGGGAGCACTGGAGAGCAGCCCAGATCTTTTCCATGTTTCTATACAACTTTATCTGGTCTTAACTGTAGCACTCAAAAAGCCCCCAAACATTTCACCGTTCCCAGTCAATTCTTTGCACCTACCATTTCTTTCCACAACTCCTCTCCAAAGAAAATGAAAAAGGTTCTTTGATACAGACTAAACTTCTCATGGGGTCAGGTAGGGAAACATTTATAGCTTCTTTAGAGAGGCCCCATCCCTGGTTTTGGCTTCTGCTCTAGTCTGCAGTTATAGGAAAAGTGATGCTTACCAGCTCTAATGTACCCATAGGAAATGTTACCTCAGTTTCTAAACTAAGTGCAGAATGCAAAAATGTACAAAAATAACTAGAAGCCTGGGTTATTTTCTCAGAAGGAATGGAAGTGTTAAAAACAGGGATGAAACATCAAAGACAAGAAGTTCACCAGAAATAAACAAGAAACAAGCATATGACATAAGGCATCACTTCACACCACTATGAGGTTCCAAACAACTCCTCCACCCAACAAAACCTCACCTTTGAGGATAACAGTGCCATTCTTACAAGAAAAGACTCGAACAACTTCAGGCATGTGTGTCACCAGCTCCAAGGTGGACTGGAAGCCCAGGTCTTGGAGGGGCAGAGGTTTGCAGACCATGGCCATGTACTGCTCCTCCAGCTCTGCTGGCGTTAGGCCGTCCTTGGCAGCTATCAGCATCGCTCTCACCTCCTTCTTCAGCAGCTCCATGAGCTGCGCCTGCTTTGCCATGTCTGCGCTGAAGGGGAAACGCAAGCCAGCAGATGACAACCTGCACAACCACAGCTGCTCAAAAGCCGGTGGAATTCCAACTCACTCCCAGTGAGAGCTGGAGGGGGTTAGCGGGCAGCAGGTTCACCAACCCACTACCTAACAACCCTTGTATTCACTCGCCAGCGCCCCTGGAGTTCAGGGCACCCCTAAACTTTACCCACAATCCCTGCCACTCCAGAGACCCTGCGCCCTCAAACTGCTGCCCGAGGAACTCCCCACCGACCCGAGGGGCTCGGTGCTCCTCATAGCGGCCCCCAGCCTGGGGGTTCGCCCCTCATCCTCACAAAGTCCCCCCAGTCCCCCCCGATCCCTATCCAGGGACACCCCCACCCTCCGGTCGCTCCCACACTCACGACGCCATTGCTCCTGCTCCCAGCGCGCACGCGCGCCGCCTTTCCCGCCTTCACAGGGCGCGAGGACGGGGCGGTGCCTCCTCCCCCCCCGCGGCCGCCATTGCGGATCGGCTGAGGGGGAGCGGCCGCTGCTCCTCGGCCCTGAGGGGCTTCCTCCTGCGCGGAGGCGCTGCCCCCGCCTTCTGAAAACAAAAACAACAACAACAACAAGCTAAAAAAACCACGTGAGGTGCCACAGGACCAGCAGGATTGATTGGGTTGGAAAAGACCTCACGAGGTCATCGGGTCCAAAACTATAGCCAAACACCACCGTGTCGATCAGACCATGGCAGTGAGTGCCACACCCCCCGTCTTTGATTAAGCATCTCCAGGGATGACGACTCCACTACGTCCCATGGGCAGCCTGCTCCAATGTTTAATCACCCTTTCTGTGAAGAAATTCTTCCTAATGTCCAACCTAAACCTCCCCTGACTGTTATAAGTTACTTTTTCTCTGGAATTTTGAAGACGGCAAAAATACCTGCAGGACAAAGAAATATAGCAAGAGATTTTTATTGCAGTGCTGGGTACCCATTTCCAGCACTGGGTGCACCTTTGAATCATGCAAAGAGCACACCGCTGTTTGAAAACCGCGCTTTTTGTACCCTTTGAAATCAGTTGTTGAATATTCATTTTACTGTCCGCTTGTTGCCTTAAAAGGTAATTTCTCTGCCTTGGAAGTGGGTGTTATCTTTTGGCTGGTTGCAACATACCTCCCCTGGGCTCGTACAGGGGGGTCTTGCATCATCCTCACATTGCAAGGCATGGAGGGTCTCTCTGTGTATCCACATGGCACAGAGGAATACATTTTTATTCATAATTTGTTCCCTGTTCCCGGTCGCAAAAGATTCCCTGGTGAGAGGTCCAGATAGGACCCTTCACCTTACAGTCTCCACGGTACGCCTATAAGTTAGTAAATATACAGAAATAGTTCTTTTGTTAGTACCCCCTGTTCATTTTAATTTGCTTGGAATAAAATCAGTTCCTCAATTTTTCACACTGACCAAGCTTAGGGCTATGTCCCTTTGTCCTATCCCTGGTTGCCTGGGGGAAAGCACTAACCCCTGCCTGGCTACAACCTCTTTTCAGGTGGTTGTAGAGATTTAAAAGGTCCCCCCTGAGCCTTCTTTTCCCCAGGTTGAGCCCCCCCAGCTCCCTCAGCTGCTCCTCATCAGACTGGTGCTCCAGACCCTTCCCCAGCTCCACTGCCCTTCACTGGACTCATTCCAGCACCTCAGTGTCCCACTGTTATTCAAAGGAGTCTTGTATTTTGTAAGAGGAGTTTTGTATTGTAAGGAGTCTTGTATTTTTTGTCTCATCTGAGAGCAAAATCCATAGTGGAGATGCAAAAAGCACATTGTGAAAGAGCCACACACAAAACAGGACTAGTTCCTTCAAAGTGATAATATTTAAACCCAAACACTGTTATTAAGAGGAGTCTTGTATTTTTCAGTCCCCTCTGAGTGGAAAATCCATAGTGGAGACATTGAGTGACTTTCCCAAGGCCACAGGGCGTGGTAAAGTGTGGTGCAATGGCTGTTTCCTAAGGGCTCACAGACTTCTAAGAAACCCTTTCAACAGCACAGCTGATTTCCACACAGGAATACATTTCAGAATAAAACAGGAGCTGTGGTTGCAGATTTTGGGACAGCAAAGGTTGCAAACCTGTCAGCATGTCCTCCCAGAGCATACCCCCTGTTCCAAAGGAACAGCCAAAAACATCCCCCAGGGATGGTGGAGTCAGGACCCACTGGTGGAATAAAACCACAAGACAAAACCAGCAAGTTGCAGGTTTGGAGGTGTTAAATATGCCACGGTGCTTTTGACAAGATGCCAACAGGAATCCAAAACCAGACCTGAGCTGCTGTTTAAAACACCACATGCCCTTTCATCAGCTGGAGACCATCTCCCCCAGTCCCATGTGATAAACAAGTGATAAACACCAAGTGCAAAAGGTTTCTGTAGCACTTCGAAAGTATATACACTGCTTAAATTTATTAATTACACCCCATTTACACCTGACTTTTCTCCTGCCTTTAGCCCTCTCCATCCATCACTTCCCTGGTGACCTGCTGACAAGGCACCCAGTATGTCAGAACAGAGAAAGGCAGCTGGTGCTCCTGCCCTCCCTGCCTGCAATATCCTGGCTCCCCGTGGGCTGACAAGTCTCCAATAAAACAGGAATCTGTGAAAAAACAAGAGCAGCACATCCCCAGCCAGCTTCCCAGCTCCCTCCAGTTACTCCTCCACACTACAGACCGGGAATCCCCAAGCTCAGCACTGCCCTGCCTTATGTCCCAGCTATGTCTTGCCTGTAGTATGATTTCTAGCCAGGTGCTGGTTTCTTTAATACAGTCAGTGACTTTAAAACACTTCAGAAGTCTTTTAAACACTTCAAACATGTTTTAAACCTTCTTCCGGAGGTTTCTGCAGATGTAGGCTCAGCAGCATGAAAAGAGAAGGCTCCTATGTTTGCTCTACCACGCTCCTTCTGTGGAAAACTAGGAAGGCATTTAGGCCCAAACTCTTTTGGCAATCTAGATTCAACAGCTCTATCCCAGGAATGGCCACCATGCTTTGCATTCTTTCAGGAAAGTTCATGGCTGAACTGGACCAGTTAATTTCTCACCCTGCTAGAATGTGAGGTGATCCTGGAGAGAAGGGGTTTGCTGCCAGTGTCCCTCCAAAGGGCTTCTGGAGAGCAGAGCAGTGTGAGATGCTGTTCACCCAGACATTCACTGCAACACCCACCCCAAACACTCCTGAGTAAGCCACTGGGCTCACCAGCAAAGGTTTTTCACCCTGGTGTCAATTCTGGGCCACTCTCACCATTTGAGGTCTTTGGGGCCGCATGCCTGACAGTTACTTTTTGATTGCTTTTCAACAGCTTTGCAGAAACCATCTACTAAAACCATCTGAGTGCTTCTAATTGTATTTTATTCCCAAAAGCAAGATGCAAGCAGAATGTCCTCCTGGAGTCCACCATGTCCAGGCCTAACCTTCCTTCCCATCTCCACAGCAGAGTGTGATGAGAGCTGAGCGGCTGGAAACACTTGCTCACTTCACTGTCCATTGCGGCTGACAAGCCCCTGATGAACTTGAAACGAGCCTCCCTGATGTGACACCTCCCCTTCTCTCCTCCCCTGCCTGCAGCAATAAATTCTGCTCCCACAGGCAGCTGTGGGCTCCTTGGCACAGATGAGGATGGATAAGAGGGCTCGGAGCTCTTCCAGGGAGTCTCATAGAAAACGTAGGGAGTCCCTGGGTACACAGAGCAAACGGGAGAAGAGGGAGAGCAGCAGAGAAGGCGGCAAAGGAAGGGGAAACGTAAAGCAGGAGAAAGCGAAGGAGACCAAGAGCACTACGGGCACTGATGGCAGAGTGCACACCTCCACGGTGGTGGACGTGGATGAGGTGGTGTCTGAGGAAGAAATGGAGGCAATGGCATTGCTGGACAGTGAGCAGCAGGAGGAAGGTATGGCTTATAAGAAGGGAAGGGCTTGGAAAACTGTGGGATCTTTGATGCTGCGTGGGTCACGGTATGACTGCTCTCTGCATGGTGTCATCACAGATGTGGTTATCCTCAGGACAGAATGTGGGAGACTCCAGCCAACCTCTCAGCTCTGTTCTCTTCCTTTTCTCACTTGCCCTTCTTTAGGTAGACAGCATTAGCCTTAATGCCAGTTCACAGCCCAAAAGACCTCACTACAGGGAAGAACTACCCTTAAGGTCCACACTTGCAGCTCCCCTTCTGGATAATCTTTAAGAGCAGTTCCTCTCCACGTGCTTGTTAGGCAGATTCCCAGCCACGATAGAAGGGAGCATCGTGAATCTTTTGGCAAGGTGTCTGGGACTCTTTGGACCCAGCATCATCAGGGCATGGCAGATGTGTGTTACAGGAGCCAGCATCACTTGTGCACTTCCATGCCAGCAGCTCTGCTGCCCTAGAGTGACACAAAGACTCAGACTTGCTCCTGACTCTCTGAGAACTAGTTTTTCACAACCACCTCTTTCTGCCTCAGTTACAGGAATCACAACTAGTGAGTGGTGCTGTGGAGCTCTAGTGATTGTGTAGGTTCTTGGGATCTGAACTTCTCTCAGGACTTGGTGGTTCTGCAGAGACCTCCAAAGGCAGAGATGTGAGGATGGAAGGGCTAGCAGGGATACAAAATGGGAGGGATGCCAACTTCATTGCTGGAAATCATGGCCCACTCTCTGGCTTTTAGTACATCTAGGAGTAATATATCGATTTTCATGCCACACCTGCTGAATTTTACTTCATACAGGAGCACAACAAAGGACAGCCAAAGCAAGATGACCCGCTCTCCCTTTAGGGAGATGTAGCAGGTAGTATTCATCTGGAGCTGACCCCAGTCAGGCCCCAGCACCTCAGTGTCACTGCTGTAGAGCACAGGGAGAGTTCAGTGGCACCAGTGGTTTTATCCCGCTGCATTAGGGAGATGAGATGCAACTAAAACCATAGTCCAAAACAACATGAAATACCCTGATAGGGAGGGGCACTTCAGTCTGTGCGTGTTGAAAGCTCTTTCTTATTTACAATCTTCC